ACCCATGGCTCGTTAGTCATAAAAGCAGTGGGGAAAAGCAGGGGCACCCAGTGATTGAAGCACATGCCTTTAGCTTTTTCTAGCTGTCTCTCTCCTGGTGACACTCTACTGGTGTTAACTGTAACAGGTACTTTCAATCATCAAAATATTATCTTTCTCATCCAGTTTACAAAGCCAAAACCTAGCTCTGAAGGCCTGTACCCATGCAGGCCTCCCCGGCAGTGTAAGCAGAGGAAACCTGAGTGCATCTACTGAAGTGTTTTGCCTTGCATCAAGTCTTTGCTTTTGACTAGACTCCCCTTATTCTCCCCACCTACTGCTTCAGCTCACATCCAGCAGTGGTCTCAGTGCTTTTTTTAACGTGGCTTTTGGATGAAGCAACCAGGTGTTGCCACCCTGGAGGGCACTTCTGAAGGGCCTTCACTCAACGCACCCCACGGCAACCCCTGAGCACGCAGTCTGCATGGTGGGCCCCTGCCTTTCTCTCGCCACCACCACTCCAACCGCACCGCCCAACCTATTTTTTCACCCACCTTCCTCCCAGATTTCCCTTTCCTTGTTGCACAATCCCAAATTGCAGGAGAACCCCATTCCCAAGCCCATCTCCCATCCCTCCTGGGGCAGCAGGAGCTGTTGCTGCAGGGCTGGGAGTGTCGGCTCACCCCGACCCCACGTAGGCCCTCGAGGCAGCTGGCAGGCAAAGCAGGGCTCCCCATCAGCTGCTGTTGGAACAAACCCTGCTGACAGATTTCCAAACTCCCGTTCCTGTTTGTGAAGGCAGGGCGGCGGTGCCGCTGCCAGGAGCGCCTCGCGTTGATTTGGTCGCTTAAGGCAGTGTTTCGGGATGGGTTGGGTTGGGTTTCTTTGCACGCACATGAAAATGGAATAACGGGCCAAGGGCTCCCTCTGTGTCCTCTGCTGGGCATAACTTCTGCGGTCCCAGCGTGGGAGCAGGGCAGGAAAAGCCTGGCTGGGGGCACACGCTTGTCATTTGGCTTGGTGCCCATCTCCAGCTCACTTTGGAGGTACTCGAGGTGGTCAGAGAACCCCCCCACTATCTCTGCTTTCCTTGTGCTTCTCAAGGAGCACTGAGAGGTTTTATTTTGTCTAGAGCCATATGTGCACATCAGAAGAGATCCATTTTGGTGTGACAGGAGGCGTGAAGGGCTATTTGTGCCCTGTGCTCCTTTGGATAAATGGAGTTTAATCGCTGTGTTCACTGTGCCTGGAGCTTCTGTACCAGGGCATGAAGACAAAAGGCAAGACCTTAATTTTACAAAACCAAAATTTTATGTAGGTGTAGGGCCCTTGGCATAACTTGTTAATGAAATGTTGTTGCATCATTGCAGAAAAATAGCTCTTAGGCTGCACAGGGTGACACTAAAATTCCCATTTGCAAAATCAAGGAATTCCTTTGGAGGAATGAAAGAGGTGGGGGCACCACTCTCCAGCCTCCATTTGCACAAGGATGTCAGAATGGTGCTTAATTTTGGGGGTGCAAATGCTGCAGTGCAAATCAGAGAGCTCGTCTCATTAAAATCCCACTACCCAGCTGCATCTTCAGTTCTCTTTTATTATTTGTGAAATATTTGTCATCCAGGCTTTCCAAAATATTTGGAAATCCATGGAAGTCCATGAGAACGCAGGGGAGCAAAACATATTTTTTTCCTCCAGTTTCTCCCCTTTTGGTTTTTCAGACATCCTTCACTTCTTGTTTGAAAGGAACCTGAACAGATGACGAACTCTGTGCAAGAGCAGGAAGAAAATGCTCTTGTCAATATTTCCCCACCCCCTCCAGGTGAGCTTGAAGATCTGCAGAGCAAGAAGAGCTTCCCAAGGCACAGCTTGGAAATGCCACCCATTTGTGCCATCACCTCACGCAGATGCCACTTCCAGACTTGCAAGCAGCCTCTTCCCTTGTCACGCCCAGCTTTTCGGGTGTCCCCCCAGCATCAGGCTGGTGTGGGAGTGCTGGTGGGGTCAGCAGTACCCAAGGCGATGTGCCTGGCTTCAGATCCGACCCTGGCACATCACCTGCATGGCAGGCCGACGTCATGGCACTGCTGTGCTCTGCAGCTTGGTGCTGTAAATATTTAATGGCTTCACAGCCAGAGAACGTACGTTTTGTTTTTTTCCACTGGCGGGCGGTCCAGGAGCCTCCTGCTCTTCATGTGAGTCCTGAGGAGATGGCACTCGGCTCGCTTCCCCGTGCTGAAATGGGGTTAGCAATAACACCCCTCTGAGGACACTGTTCCACCAGGCAGCCAAGGTCTAGAGCAGGCCAGGAAATTGCTTCACTGCACAATTTTAGCACCCCCAAGTTAAACTGGATTTAAACTGAATCATTCTCTACCAAAGGGTGTGTCTTCCTGGGTGAACTTCTGCTTTTCAAAATGAAATTTTTGAAAGAAAAAAAAAAAAAATAAAAAGCTGTCACAATTGTTCACATCTCCTTTCTAGCTAGAATATAAAAAATAAATTACAATTGTATAGTTTTAGAAAAAAATGTGAAGCTCCAAATGAAAACCTACCTCATTTTTTTCTTGTCAACATTTTATTTTATGTCTTTGGTTAGTAGTTTTTGTTTTTCTGTTTGAGATTTTGCCTTTCCATGGGCATTTGAAACTGAGATGTTTGCTGCAATCTTCAGATTTCCCTCAGGACAGGTCCAAGGCCCCAACACTTCCACCTGCAGTTCTCGCAGAATTTACATGTATGAATTGCATTTTTAAAGGATTCCTGTGAAGAAGTACCTTTGCTGTGAGGTGAGAACACAGCAGATTGGGACAGGCCGTTGCTTACCCACAGGAGATGACAATCCACACCTAGGACATAGTATGGCCACTCTGTTTTCCCTACATTTACTGCCATGAGCCTCCTCGCTTACCCACTGCCAGTACATTTTCTGTCTGTCTCATCTGCTAACAAATGACCCAAAGCACATGTGCAGGACAAGGCCCAAAATAATGCCCGTGGCACAGCTCCAGCCCATGGGTCCTGGCCTGGAATAGCCTCCTGGCAGCTGGCAGGTGGCAGCCTGCTCCGCTGATGGGAGACCCAGCACGACTTTTGGGGAGAAGGTCTGCTCGGGCAGGATCCATTTCACCCAAGTTTAGATGCCCACAGTCTGCAGCTGAACTAGTTGGCCAGGGTCCCTTCTAGAGGCAAAAAGGCACTTCCAGAGGGGTATTTTGTCTCACCCCAGGTTAGCTGAAGGTCAGACGAAGCAGCCTAGAAGCACCAGTTGTTTCCACTGACTAAAAAGGGTTCTCAGCTGCTAGCTCCGTGATAGACAACCCCACCTCTGTGGTTTGGTTCCTTTGCCTAAATACGGACATCTAACATCTGCCCGGCCTGCAGCTGGCCCCAGAAGCCTTTCTCATACATCATGTGTCATATACCGCTCCAGACTGATCCCTGCTGGGTGCCAAGGCCCCTCGGGAGCTGGGCTTCAGCAGCTCCCAGGGAGAGTCGGGCCTAAGGAGGAGAGCTGGGGTGGGCATGGGCCTGGCTGCAGGCAGGCCCTGTCACTGGCAGTCACGTTCACAGGAAAATTCACAGAATTGCCTACAAGGTTTCAGTTCTCGCAGCATGTACTCTACTTTATGACACCTTTTGTCATACAGATAAATTCAGGAAGGTTCGGGCTTCCCTTGTCTACTCCTAATTGCAAAGGCAAAAGGTACTTCCCTAAAACCCCAGTGATTTCTACATTGGTTTCCAAACACTTCGTTCAAGACACAGGATTATAAGGCCTTCTCTTCTACACAGTTATAAGAAAAAATCATATTAAAAGAAGAATTTTCCACAATTTCCTCATCTGAAGGCTGCTGAACTGTTTGAACTGAAACTTTCTTAATATTTCAACTGGAGCCAAATAACCGGGCAAGTGAAATGTTATCCTGAACAATTAAAATCTGGCAGCATTTAAGGAACTAAAACAAGTGTCCTATAAAGGAAATGGCTAGACATATTTAACTGCAGCAGGAATAACTTGCCACTTCATACTAATAACGGTCCTGTTCCTATCGGTTTAACCAGGTGCCAAATGGGACGACTGTCTCACCCGTGACGTGTAATCGATAAGGAGAGGGTAGCTGGTATCCAGTGACTAGAAACAGCTCAGATTCCAGCAAACTGTTTTTTATTCATGCTCTGAAACCTCATTTCTCACCCTCCCCACGAGTCCCTGCCCTAGCACACTGGTGACATAGTGCAGCAGTGCCAGGCAGCCCCACGGCCTTCACCCCGCCGTGCCTCCGTGGTGACCCAAAAGCTTCTGCCTTAAATCACCGAAGTTGCTTTCTCTTGCTGGGAAGTGCACATAATTGCTCATTAGTCAGCATTTCATTAATCTAACTACTTTCATAACTGTGCCTCTAAGAATTGGGACTGCTGTCAGGACATTGTTTTCCGGCTGCAACTGAATATTCAGAATATTCAGCGCTGTGCCTGCTGCGGCTGATACCGTTTCCATTTTAGGCCTGGTTACACCCACGCCCATGCTGAAGGGGTAGCGATGTTTCTCTGTTAAGATGACAGCCCTGCTTCTGGGAAGCTATGCAAAACCTCCAAAAATATGTTTATACCTTTCAAAGACATGTTTATATCAACTAGTGTTTTTTTTTTTTGTTTGTTTTTTTTTTTTTTTTTAGGAAATTACAGTAGCTACAGTCTCAGCGACTAATCAAGGTGAAAACCAGGAAAACAAATTACTAACTTTTGTGCCTTTGGAGGCACCTCTTTTTCATTATTATTACTTTTTTATTTTTCTGGGAAAATTGATCACGATTTTGAAAAAAAGTTTCTTTTTAAAAACTTCTCTCTTGCAGCATTCTGATCCAAATCCAGCCAAAGCTTTATTCATACTGGTATATTCACGCTGTCACTGACTGAATGGTGACTATTTCAGGAATTGGAGACTGAATATGAAAGAGAAAGGTGACTTTTAAAGTAAATTAGAGTTTGACCCTATTTTGCTGACATAATAAAGAAAACAGTTAAGCTTTTCCACGTTTATATATAACGGTCATTCATTTCCTTCTTATATTTTATTCAAAAAAATAGGAGGAAACTCAGATTCTCACACCCTTAGTATTGGGAAAAGTCATTAGCGGTCCCAGCAAACATTGTTTTTTCTCACAAACATTGCTAGACATTTTTAAATGAAACAGGAATCCAGCCGGGAAAGAAATTCAGAATTGTAAGACTAAAATATCCTGCCCTTGTGCTCATTTTCTGTCCTTTTCATCTGTTACAATGTCACCAGGTCATGGGCTATTCTGCAGTCAAAGCACCTTCCTAAATTTCTAACAAAACACAGGAAAGGCAGGCAAAAAATTTTTGGAAATGTAATATTTCAGGTCATCCGTATGCATATTGCAAAAAAAAGCAAAAACAAATCCAAAAATCCCTTAACCCACAAGATTGTTTTGCTTGTATTCTTAGTTTAGCCTTGAGGTTTATGGCCAAGATAGGAAACCAGACAAATTTTTGGCTGGCTCTGCTGCAGAGTCCCCGGTTAACTGTGGGAAGACTAATAAGCCTCTCTGTTTTTTCCATGTTGTCATACATACTATATACATGTATATTATCAGACAGAGAGAAACACGCAGCTTATAATTGTCCCCAAAGTCTTGAATCCCAATCCCTGCTGAAGTGTCTAAGACAAATGACTATTGTTTTAGTGAAATGGCTCTTATTAAAATAGCTATGGAAAAGGCCAGGGAGGCAGCAGATCTCTGACACATGTAGAACACCCCTGCCCGTGGGCTGGGTGGCGCAGTGCTGTGCTCGCTCTGTCACTCTTGTCCAGCACATTTCCAAGTGTCCCTGCCCAACAGAGCCACCTTCACAGCCCAGCACGAGCTACCTGCTATCCTGGGATGTCATCCTGGTCTCTAGTGATTCCCTGTGCAGCTCCCAAGGGGGATCTCAGAAATGGGATGTTATTCAAACATGGCTCTAGGGAAATGGTTCTACATTTTTATTTTCACTAAACCTAAAATTTTTATCTTTCTCTTATCATCATAGAGCTGAGCCAAAAACTCTCTATCATTTTCTTTCACAGAGCTGCTAAATATACAGGTATTTGCAGGACAGGTGTGATGAAGAACGGAAAAAGTTAAAAACAACAGAAATGTATTCAAAACAAAACAAAACAAAACAAAAACACTAAATGCAAACATTGCAGATTTCACCTACAGTAATTACTGCCTTGAAGGTAAAGGCAGTCAATCTGCTAATGATTGCATTGAAAGGAAATGGGACAGCTCATGGCTGCTCTGCAAATCTGAGTGTGCTGCACAGACTTGCAAATGTGAGAAAACCTGAGCTGGTGAATCTAGTAAGTGCAACACATTTCAGAATAGCCTTGTTTCTCATTGTCCTCAGCCAAAAATTCTGCTCTGGACACAGCCATGCAAACACCCTGCTAACTGATCTAGCTTGGTCTGTGTGTTGCCAGCTTGGAAATGGGAGGCAGCAGCAGTGGGCCAGTCTCCTGTCACACCACTTAAGGAAATTTTTATTTCGTAGGATGTTCAACATCAATACTGCAGCAAGGTTGCACAGTGTGTAACCAACTATCCCCTGGGAGTCTGCTCAATCCAGTGCTAAAAAATCAGACACAAAAGCTTCAGCCAGTTTCTTAACTCCACAGGCAAATAAAGAGCCACTGGACTCTAGCTGTTTGCTGCTCACCAGGAGGGGAGAAATGAGGGCCTTTTGCCTTTCTCAGCCTCAGGGACTTTTGAACCCCTGTCTCCCATTTCTCCAGCAAACAGAAAGCAAGGCTGTGCTGGAAACATGCTTTATCTTCCCTGCCGAAACTGGAAAGGAACAGGACTCTTGGGAGAAGCAGATTTTATAACTCCACTAATAAGGACATCTCCTTGGGAGCAGGCGATGTGGGAGCTTGTTCTCTCCCCCTTCCCCTCCCACACAGTGTGACTCTGTTCCTTCAGTTCAGCCAATGTTTGCTTAATGCAAAACTCATTTACAGCCTGGAGAGCAGGGACAGCAGTGCTAAGCTGTCACATTAAGGGTACGGGACGGGTATCATGAGATCCACTCCAGCACATGCATCCCGTGGCACACCTGAACCTTCCTGGGATTTTGCCCCTTCCTCTCTTTGCTCTATCAGTCCCATCTCTTCCTGCAAAGGTGGAAGGTAGCAGGGTATTGTCAGCTGGATTTGGGGCTCAGTTTACCACCAAATGTACACTGACGACATCAGCGTGCGTGGCAGCACAACAGGAGAGGTTTGCAAAGTGAAACAGCTGATGGTGAGCACCCACTGCCATCATCTACACATCTGAGGGAAGTTATTTCCACTTCTGGTTGGGTCCTCTGGCCCCAAGTGTCCAGCTGGCTCCATGGCAGCTCTGTGATGGGAACCAACACCCTGGAAATGCAGATCAGGAGACCAGCAATGAAAGCACTCCCCTGAGCTACAATGAGCCACTGATGAGGACGGCTTCAGATTTCTTTTTCATTATTCATGAAAAAGATGAATTTTCTACATCATCCCATGTAGAATTACTTTTTTTTTTTTTTTTCTAGGTAAGGCATTACAACTATAATTAGCCAGCAGTCCTGGACACAAGAAATTCCTCCAAGGGACTGCACACAAGATTAAATATACAAGCTATTAAAGGTCAAGACACAGGAAGACATAAGCAGGAAAATAAATTATACTAGCCTGCAGATTTGATTGCATAAGGGGGGAAAGCACTGGGTACTTATGATTCTCAACATTCAAGGTAAATAAATGATAATTTTTGTTCACAAGAAAAGCTTGTTAACATACCCAGACACTATTAAGCTGAACCATTTCTATAAGCTCCTCTGAGGTGAAATCAGTGGCCTTAAACTATTATTACAAACAAAATAGTCTGAGAAGTTTGTGATCATTAGCACAAATCCCTTGGATAAACTTAAAAAGCACAGAGAAACTAGCAGAGAAATAAGGAAAGGTTTCAGTAAATACCCCAGGAATTTAGTAATTTTATTTTGTTTGCTTTTATGTTCATTTGAAAAACCACGGGGCTCGTCTCACCAAAGGACTATAAAACAAATTGTTCATTTCAACTTTACAGCCCTGGTCCTTCAAGGGAAGTGAAAGCTCTGCAGCAGTGTGTGTAAATCAAGCAGATGCCTTCTTCCATCCTGTTCCTATTTCTCCCATTCTCAGTGGTGCTCTGCAAACCCATCGGGCTTGAACAGTGGTGTCACGTCCTATCCCTCTAGGTCTTCTCCAGAGCATCAGCATCACCAGCCTTCTAACGATCTGCGTGGGATCCTGACAGTCAGGATTGACTGCGTCTGACTCTGCCGGCAGACACAGGAAGCAACCCTTTGGTGACATAAACGGCACAGAACCATTGCCCTCGGCAGAGAACGGCTGAATCACGTTAGGGGAGTAATGAGTTTAAGAAGAAACTGACATATATATATACATATATATATGTGTATGTATATTTTACAAAAAAATAATAATAAAAAGATGATGTTTTTTATAAATCATCCTGATCTGCCTGGGTGAGTGAAACTCCTACATGAAGATGGCACAATGACCTCAATGTTTCCCCATGGATTTCACAGTTTTAAACCTCTGTATTTAATAGTATGATTCCTAGGAACTGGAAAAACAATACACTGGAGGGTAACAAACCATGGTGGCTTTTAATGCAGCCGGGGTCAGTGGGTTATGTTTGTGTTTTGTGGTTGGTCAAACTCTGAGGCTCCTAAGCAGCTCACTGAAAAAGGGCATAACGTAACATTGATGGGCTATTTAGGGGTTATTCCACTGAACTTTGCTGGGGTTTTAGTGATGTTTTTTGTTGCTTATTCACCCTTGAGGAATCTTTTACTTTTGACTTCCTAGGCAAATGATGATATCTACTAAGATTGCCTATAAAGCTGGGATATGGAGGAGCATTCAGGGATGTTTGAAATCTTCCTCTGATACCAATGAGACTTCAACTGCTCACCACATATCAAACGTGGCTTTCAAAAAAGTCACCCCAAAACTTCCACTGGCTTCAGGGATTCCCATGCACCAGTACAGGCTGGGGGCTGACCTCTTGGAGAGCAGCTCTGTGGAGAAGGACCTGGGAGTCTTGGTGGACAACAAGTTGACCATGAGCCAGCAGTGTGCCCTGGTGGCCAAGAAGGCCAATGGGATCCTGGGGGACATTAGGAAGAGCACTGCCAGCAGGTCAAGGGAGGTAATCCTCCCTCTTTAGGAGGCTTCACCTGCAGTGCTGCGTCCAGTTTTGGGCTCCCCAGTACAAGAGTAACATGGAGATACTGGAGAGAGTCCAGCAGAGGTCTACAAAGATGATTAGGGGACCAGAGCATCTCTTATGAGGAAAGGCTGAGACAGACTCACTCTGTATGAATTTTGGATTAGCCCAGTATGGTATTCTTCACAACAGCAAAAGCAGATGACTATTTATGAAAATATTTGTTTGTTCAATATTCTCCTTGCTTCCAGCAACTTGTAGCTCAAGATCTTCCCAAGAGCTGAGAGGCATCTTTAATAACCCTTGATAGATTCCTCTTCCATGAGCCTAGCTAGTATCTCCTTGACCCTGTATAAATTTTTAGCATCCATAACACTCTGGTATGAATAACGCTTAGTTCCTAAGTATCTATGACTAATCAATCCTTTAAGCAGCTTCATTGACTTCTGAACTCCCACAGCAGTACTTAATTTGACTATTAATTTAATTTACCATCACCACCTTTCACTGCTGGTATTTTTACTCAAAGCAGCGTACCCTACAGATGGTTTTCAAAAAATACAAGGCACTTGATTTCCCTTCATCTGAATTCCTCACGAGGTTCAATTTGTTTCACAGGAGTAGTATGCAGAAGGGTAAAAAGGAAGATCAGAAATATGACGAGGGCTAAACAACTGGATCCGAGGGGATTAAAGATGAACTAAGGAACCGGTACAATACAGAAAGCAACCGACTGACTACATTGAGTCCAGTTTTTAAAGTTACAATGTAAAGTGAGATTATAGATAACACCTCACAGTGAAAACCATCCCTCTTTGTGACTTAAGGGTTTAAAAGGTCACAAATAAGATAAGAAATGTGGTTGATGAGCATGCACACACACGCACACATGCACAAAGATTCTAGAATCCTCAGTCAGATTAGTGACAGTCACACATTTACATGAAGTATCAGTGCTCTTTTGTACTCTATATTAAATCTAATGACCACAGGGATCGGTCATTTAGAGTCTCTTTTCATTAGCTGTGGCCTAAGTGTCCCATGAGCATGCAGGGTTTTCAGGACCTTAAATCACGTGCTGACTTGCATATTTCACTGTAGCAAGCTCAGCAAAGATGCAGAAGTATCAGTTTCAATTAATACATTTTTTTTTAGACCCAGCCCAAATTGCCCCTGACTAAACTAGACCTTAAGTGCTATGTGCAAATTAGCTTTCCTAAAAATTTAGCACAGAACTGATCTAAACAGATGATCCACAGTTCGTCTGTGAAATACCCAAATTGGCGAAATCAGCATTTTAACTGTGACCTAAATAATGAAGTACATGGTGTTATATGTTAATTAGTGCTGTACCACACAGGCAGAAGAAGGTTATGCAAAACAAGAAGCAGCTTCTAAAGCAGTAGAGATACCTATTACACGTTCTAATCACTAAAGAAAACATCTTTTGTAAGGGTTTAATTTTAACTCTACTGCTTTTCAAATCTTCTGATGAGCTAGCTATTATTAATGTCGAAAGGTGATGCCTGTCAGCCAAGAACTACATTAAAGTCCATAATTGAATTTCAAGAGTTGTCAAGAGGAGGCTAATAAAATAGCTGCTACTAGGAGTGATGTATGCAGAAAAAAAAAAAAAAAAAAAAAAGCTCTGGTCTGGCAGGATGCAAAGTATGTTGTGTGGTTTCCTGATGTCATTTCAAATAATATGTTCAATTTTTCTGGGCTGCATTTGCCTGACATTCTTCTCTTGTACAATAATGATTCATTATATATAATTTATTCAAGGACTGTAACTCACCTCTAAGTGCCTATAAATATTACTGGAGCTAGACATTTGCATTGTAAAACAAATGTGTAACAGTGGGATTTATGAAGGATCCTTTTACGTTAGTGCCTTGACAGAAAAGATAGATTTTTCTGAAGTAAAACAGACCTTTAAATAATCTTAAAAATCTACCACAGGAAACAATTAACAACTCTTCCTTCCCCGTGTTGTCTAGGTATTTTGAAAATTTTGGGGGAAGGCTGAGGGCAAAGTATTCCTTGGCTGTTTTAAAGGGATAAAGCTACGGTGCTGTTACATCAGTATTACTGGGAATGTTCCCATGATTTAATGGTAATATATAACATCCACTCTCCCACTGCCTGAGCAGTTTCTGAGCAGAGCTCTTAGAGGTGGTAGAAGGCAGACAGATGCCATTGCTGTGAGGAAAGGTTAAGGGGAAACATAGTCCCAGCTGGAACAAAGGCTACACAGTGTTGCCACACCAAGTGGTGTTAATAAAAGGTTGTGGGACGCTGACATCCTTTATTCCTTCTGGTAAATTGGTATGTGAATATGTAGCAGTTCTAAAAAGGGGAGAAATCCGATGTGAGATGACAGCATTCAGCTGGGACACACCAAGTCGTGAGAAGCTGGTGCCATAGTGATGTCCTGACCTGTCTTGCTGCCTCCCTCAGAGGGCAGAGTTCTCAGTCTAGAAATGAGGCTGAAAAGCATGTATTTTGTTCTCTTTCTGTGCTGAAGAGAGTTAGAAGTTACGAGATTAAGTAGCAGTTAGGAACAGTTATGTCAGACAGTAAGAAAACCTTTCACTCCCATGGTGTGACATCTCCAGCACTGCTGTCCAGACAAACTATTAAAGGCAGGTTAGAAAAACGCCTATGAGAGATAACATCTGAGCATAATTACTGCCACCAAGAGAATAATATGGTGCCCAATAATATGGTATCTCTCCATCCTGTGTTCAGCCACCACATCCTGCTCTGGCATCTGCCAGCTCTTGCACCAAGAACACCTTGTCCTGGACAGCAAGAACAGCCAGCAGCAGGACACAGGCCAGATGCTCCTGCTTAGGGCAAGGAGGTGGACAAACTCATCTTCACAGCCCCTGCCAGCTCTGTTCCTCTATTATTTTGCTAATTTACTTCAAGAAATCTTAAGAGTTTTCCAGTGTTGTGTACTAAGGGTAAAGATCTTCACTCAGTCTGCTGGTCGTTAAATCCATGACCCTTAATGTGGTAGTTTTAGTGGTGTCCAGGCCATGTGCCAGGCTGTAAGCCAAAACCACAGACATACAAGCAGCTGTCTGAGCAGTGCTGCATGCAGTAGAGATCAGCATTCCACAGCCCTCAGTTAAATATACAACATATAGTTCATGAATATAAGTTCATGACATCAGGTAGTGCAGCAGGAAGGCTCAACAGTTCAGCTCTCATCTGCTGTTCTCTGCAAGGTCTCTGGGAAGTCATTTATTTTTTCCTCAGTGCCTTCTGCAGGATGGGATAAACAAGCTTCCTAATTGCGCCAGGACACTGTGAGAACAGACAGAATCAGGTACTTCCTTTGCCCATATATAGTTTTACCTTTAGCTGCTCTCAAAGGAAATCTCTCAAAGGAGCGCAGCTACATTCATGGTTTCTTACTCATTAACGTGGGGCTTTAGCTGAGCTTGCACTTTAACAACATGGACTCCATCCTTTAACTCCCATCTGCTGCTATTGTACAACCTAGAGAACAATAATAACACCTGCAGGTTAGCAAACATTTTTATTGTCCTGAAACATATTTTACATAGAGTGCCAATGATTATATTTTACTCGTCCCACCAAACCAAAATACCATTATCATATTTTCCATTGGCTTAAAAAGAAATACTAATAATTTCATTAATAAAATATATACATATAAGGCTTTCTATTCATATTGCTCTATATTAGAAAGGCAAATTTGAGGGTAGTGATATGGCTTAAATATATTAATATTTTCCCTCTAGGGAGCTTGTCTTCACATTTGGATATAACACACGTATATATATGAGCAGAGGAATCTCTTTCCACATGACAGCAGATATCAACCTGCATTAGATGTAAATTCAGCGTGTTTAACCACAGTGCCTGAGTCGGGAAGAAGGGAGGGTAGTCTGGGATGCCTGTTCATTGTTCTTATTTTTCTGCATATTACATTTTCTCTACTAAATTTTCTTCCTATGTTTTTCCTTTGGATAATCCCAAATTTGCCCTCCCTTATTATATGGCTTACTATAGACCATTGTTTATGTAAAAGCTCATCTGAATGTAGTGGGATTAATCGCCATGGATCCTTCTTTAATTTATGGAAGAAGGGAAGGAAATGAGAGAGACTGACTCCAGAGAGCGATTAAGAGTTCATCCATTAGGACACCTGCACTGACTCAATTTCTGCAGAAATCTTTTTCTCTCCACTAACTGCAGCAGAAGTCTAGGAAGACTTGCCTGGAAAAAAATAGCCCTTTTGTATCTTGTGTATGTTCACAAGAGTCCTACAGCATCCAAACCTCTTACACACTGAAACTTCTGTGTATGTCTGGAGCTGTACCCTGAACCATCTTCAGTCATTTGCTATCTCCCCCAGGGGCCAGAGACACACAACGTCTAGTGTTTGCAGGCCTACAAGTTCTCCTACAAGTCAGCATTTGTGCAACAAAGCCAGCAAAACAGTTAGGCTTAGCTGTGATTTCAGTATTTCTCTGAACTACAGAAGAACTGTTACCTATACTTAACAGTCACTGTTTATAAGTTACTGCAATAACAGACAGAGAGGAAAAAGCTGCTATAAAAGTTCACAGAACAAAATGAAAATCATCTTTCCAGTAAGCTGAAATGCATTGTTTAAAATGACAGGAAAAGCATCCTGTCCTGCTTCAGACCATTTGTTGGATGCTACTCATACCCGCCATGTGTGCAACACGCTTGTCATTTACAGTCAGGTCAAAGCTGGCCCAAACTTTAGTATTCTGAAACTAAAATATTAGTAGACATAATCTGTAGCGCTATGTCTTTGTCCATATTCCTGTAAGGCCCTGAAAAGATAAGGCAACTATATACCATAACTACACTGTTTTAAAAACATCATATTGTGCCTGTGCTAGTCAAACATGCTGCCCTCTGTATCGTGGCATACAAACGAGCACCATGACAGTAAAGAGATCTGGCCAATTCTTGCTATCGTCACTTGAGCTCACAGGGAATTTGGGCCAAGAAGGTGTGATTGCATTTTAAAAATGCCTATGTTCAGAAAAGACTTGTATCTTGGTTGCTGAGAGATTCGTTTTCCTGGATATACTGGAGAATGTCCACTTCATTCATTGTTTGAATTCTGTCTTCCTTTGGCTTTGCCAGCGGAGATGTGTTAGTGTTAGTGTTCCTGGGGAGAACTGCTGGTTTCTTAGGCAACGGTGGTTTTGATGGCACCTTAGGTTTCGGTTTGGAGGTTACTTTCAAGAGTTTTTCTAAATCATCTTCAACCCTGGAATGAAAAGAAAATATCATAAACTCCTCAGTGATACAGCTTGGGAATTTCTGAACTGCTTTTTGTTTTCTAAGAAAATGCAGTTTTGCAAAATAAAACTTTCTGGGAGGAAGAGTTAGGAAGAAACTCTTTTAGGAAGAGTTTTTCAAAAAATTTAAGTGTTACCAGAAAAACAAACTGTCTCTTTATGATTTTTCTATTCACCACATAAGCTATTTCATTTTACAGCTTTCAAGTGCCTAAATTAAAAACAGTTTTCAGTTTTGAAAAAAAAAATCGTGATTTTAGTTTAGGGAAAAAAATTGCTTTTAATTTGCAACTGGATGGTTTCCTTCTCCAACAGCTCAGACATTTTCACTGGGATGGTAAATCTTTTCTCATTCAGCTCTGTTTCTCCCTTAACTTCATTCCCCAAGGCAGACATGCTCTGTCATGACAAACTGGAAAATATATGACTTTAAAAACATTATATTCACATTTGCTTCCAAGAAACTGAGACAGTTTTGCAATCTATGAATCTATAAAAGAATTTTTTTTTTTTTGGTGACCATTTTTCACAATTTCCTAGTGAAATAAGCAAAACAGATGGAACAGTTAAGAATGTTTTCTACCTGGACTGTTTGACCTTACCAAAAGATACAAGGTGCTGTGCATGCCCAGTTCTGCTCCCATTGAAGCTACAAAGATTTTGAGAGAAACTTTGTAACAGATAGTCTTATGACTCCAAGAGGTCTACTGCCTTTGGAAAGTAGATATGTAAAGGAAAAAGAAAGTTGTGACCCATCACATTGCTAAAAGACATAGCAGAAATGGCAGAGTAAAAATTAATGTAGCTGGAGAAGTCTTTATAGGCCACAGTATTTTTTCCTCTGAATTAAAACAGCTTCTTGTCTTCATCCTCTGAGCACGGTGGTCAAAAAATACCATAAGGAATTGTTAATTTCCCAAGGCTTCATTGATCAACCATCACTAAGTATTCGAAACCCAACCAGCAATGCATGCAGCTCATCAGCTCTGCAATGACCAGCTACAAAAGTGACCCCCTGATAAAATGCTAACTTCACATACGCTTAGAAAATACAAGACTTGCAAAAGGCTCCACCCCTAATTGCAGCATACAAAAAATCATGGAAGGTTGATCGCAAGATGTGCAAGCAAAAGCTTTTGCATGGAGGACCAGGAGCCAAAGATCAAGGTTCATAATTTGTGACTATCTCCTTGCCAGACCCCAGCTCTAGTGGGATACACTTGCGCTGTGACCATGGTGTCTGAAGCAGCGAACAGATTTTACTGTTTAACTGATTACAAGCTCTGATATAAGAACTGTTTTTAACAAACTTCAGTATCACAGAATCAGCCCATTAAAATGCTGTAACACTGCCAGCAATAAAACTCCCTCTGCCTCAGCTGAAGGGTAGCCTGCCAGGGAAGCTACACATGAACTATGAGATAAAATTAAGGTGCAGGAGTTATTGCAAAGGGACTGGAATTTTCTTCCGTGCTCAAGTCCCCTTCAAGCAGTTTTACTTAGTTCACTCTTAGAGGACTTGTGAGGATGAGAAAGTTGGGTCACGTGAATCTGAAACAAGAAGGGAGATGGCTGCACATGTGCAGCAGGAAGGGCCTCAGGTTGCTTCAGAGGAGGTTCAAGTTGGAAATGAGGAGACATTTCTTCTCAGAAAGAGCAGTCAGGCATTGGAACGGGTTGCCCAGGGAGGTGGTGGAGTCACCGTCCCTGGGGGTGTTCAAGAAAAGGTTGGACGTGGTGCTTGGGGACATGGCTTAGTGGGTGACATTGGTGGTAGGAGGATGGTTGGACCAGATGGTCTTGGAGTTCTTTTCCAACCTTAATGATTCTATGGTTATATGATTCTCCTCTCCCTGTTTCTCTGCTAGAGCACTGCCTCAGGAGGTGGCACAGCCCTTCCAGCTAGGAGGATGGGTTGGATGTTCGCTGTCGGTCACAGCACCCATAACCACCTGGTGGCAAACGGCAAGCAGTAAATGGAGAAGTGACCCTGCAATGGAGAACGGCTCCTTATCTCTGGGAGGATTCTCTGAAGGCCCTCTCATCAGAGACCCTGGTCACTGGAAGGGATTTGTTGGAGCAGTTCTCCTGCAGGTCCACTCACTGGAACAGGATGCCATGCAGGGAGTATAAGGAAGGTGCCTTTAGAGTCTGTTTCTGGAGCATGAAGGAGCCTCATCTCATTTCAAGTCAGGCATTTTTTGGTGCTTCTATTCATTTATCTTTCGTAATTCACATCTTCCTCACTGTCAGAAAGTAAGGATGTCTTAGAGCCAGGACCATGGGGGACATGATCAACAGCAGAAGAATAAATATATCCAATCCACTTTATTACTCCAGCCCTAGAGAATATTATATGAATGCTGAAAGCACAGATACTTAAAGAGCTCCAGAATTCTCAGCAAAGGGTTCCGCTATTATTAAGAAAAACTGCAAGACCTCAAAGGTTTCTTTTTTATGTTTGACCTTATTAAAAGCCGTGAAGAACTTAATAACTGCCTGGGCTGAGACGCACTGCACTCACTGCGAATTGGCCATAATGTGAACAAGGAGAAGCCTGAATTTCTTGCCATATGGTCAGAATCCTTTAAGGCAATGCCAGCCAGATCTTTTTGTAACTCTCAAAGGAAACCAAAAGAGGGTCAGTTTAAATCAAGGCCAATCTTGTAAGATCAGCTGCTTGAACACTAATGAGTCCATCTATGATGGACAGAGCAGGTACACTGTCTCAAAGCTCTGCACCTTGAGCTCTACGTGATGGACTCTGTATTCCAGCACACAGCTCCTGCTGTTATCTCAAATTTCATCCCCCGGGTAATTCTGGAGATTATATTCTCTTTTAATTTGATAATAAGATTTATGATGTCTCTTGGTTTCCGTGATTCCCTGTGGGTGTCATATCCCACCTAACTTACAAAACACCTTGTCAGCGTATTGATTCCTTCTGAATTCCTCATCTACAGAGAAGAAATTAATTTCATTTAAGCCCAGGCATTTCTGTTTGCTGCAAACTGTGATATCCAAGAGATATCACACCTGTGATTACATTGCCACGACATGTTCATGTTCTCTTTGCTGTGTAATAAACAAAGCATGTTAGGGCTGGTATTTCTGAAGCTGATCTGATGCCTTCCTACTTGGCATAAACAAACACTGAATGAATCAGTGTCCATGTCATAAAGATTTGGTCATAAATAACAGAAACCGTAATATCTAGACGAACAATGCATATGTATACATACAGATCATACGGAGTGAGCATGATTTTGAACTAGGTGCAGTGCTTGAGAAGGGTCGCTGATCTGCCAAGCAAGGCCAGAAGTAAACACAGCTCATTAACCTCATCAGACGTCACAGCTTCCTGAATTATCTACTCCTCTGTGGTTCTACATTCATTTCTCTGCTAACCACAGCAACAAAACCACAGTCATAAAATAACTCCAAAAGATGCAGCGCAGTAGTTGTTTTTATGTTGTTTTTGATGTTGTTGTTGGCAATGTGCTTTTAGACCAACAGTTCTGCAGATCTGATTTTTCAAAGTGCGGAAACTGACCAGTAAAGCTCCCTTTTTGTCCTGGATTTTTCAAAGACCTTGGCCAGAGAGAAGTCTTTTACAGAAGACACAGCAGATAATGTGGTCTTTGTCTCAAAACCTGCTTTTCGTGCTGCAGTGTTTGATCCACTGCTGTTTGATCATGTGAGACACAATTGGCTTTGGAAAACTAAAGAGGTAAAATGCACAATGCCTCAGGCCGAGCTAGGAACAAGGACTTCTATTTCTTGAGAAGCAAATGAATTGTTACAGTGCGTAACTAGCAACCATATTTAACTCCAGGAGAGGAGGTGGAAGAAGAAAAAAATCAAGTAACTATTCGGTTGTTCCTAACAAGGAGATTAAAGGAAGAACCTTCCCACCCCCATCGCCCTTCTTGTTAAAGACAATCAGGCACAGAATCCATGTAATTAATCTTTCCCTAATTAGTCTTTTTTTTTTTTTTAATGGAAAAGCAGCACCTACATTGTTTAAAATTCCTGCCATACTGTTGTGCTGATTCACTGAACATTCAGTATCAGGTGGAAAATCGCCTTGTTTTCAGAGAGAATGCAATCAAAGCCCTTATTACAGAAAGGCTGTCACAAAGCCCTGTGATATGACAGCTAACATGTAGACTTCCAGAGGGTGAAAGATTTCCGACAGAGGCAAAGACACGGCTGCCATCAGAACATCAGCATTTTAGATGTCACTTCTCTGACTTTTGTCCCATCTATCTGGACAGAATTGAGGGGATAAGAACGAGAATGTGTATGTATAGCACCTAGCATGATGGGAACAGTGACCTCCTCTGCCTGGGAATGCTCTAATGAGGAGAATCAGTAACGAAAGCAAGAGACAAAGGTTGCCCTAATTTGCTAAGTATCCAAAAGTATCATACTTGAAGCCAGGTTATGCAAGACACAGCAGTTCTTGCAGAACAGACTTTTGTCTGTCTGTACCTTGTTATCATTCTTTATTTTGGCTGGTGTTAACTTGAAGTACAACAGATATCTCAGCGAAGTGTTGGGTAGAGGTGTAATACCACATATATGACTTGGGAAAAGCCTTTGCTGCCCAGCACTTGTGGTATGGTCAATCGAGAGAGTGTGACGTCTAACGGAGCTGATGGAAGTTACAGAGATGCTGTAGGAGGTATCTCCCTGTCTGCTCCTGCCTTCCCCTGCAGTCCACTCCAGGTAAGTTCATGCTGGTTTAAACAGTGCCAGGAAATATGTCAAGACACTGGAACATGAGAGTCTGCACAGCTTTGGTTTGTGTTAGATTACCCCTCATCCAAAAAGCTCCCAGGCACAACTCAGGAGCTGGCATGGGATGGAGACCATTCCCAGCAGCAGCTGCACACAGTTCCAGAGCCAGTGAGCCTAATAACATGATGTAGCCTGATGGTGCTGCTTGGCCTAGGGCCAGAGAATG